GGTTTAAAAAACCATACTTGGAGGTTAACTATTCTCCTACATATTAGGTATTATTACTATTATTCCATTTTCTAAAGTAAGGAAAATAAGTGGGGTTGAGTGTGAACATGAAGTAAGTTGCTCTCTTCCACAAGACCAGCTGACATCTCACCAACTCTTAAGTCCCAAACACATCCCAAGCGCACCAAGCTTCAAAGCCAGTATGTTCTAGAACAAGAAGTGAAATCCAGGTCTGAGGCAAAAGCCTGGTAACAATTTCCAACTGAGAATCACAGAAACTGAGAACTACAGGTTCCTAAGACTCGGACTATGTCAGTGCTTAGTGGAAACCAGCTTCTTAAGTCTCCCAATAATGAAATGAAAAGTGGAATGAGGCCTTTTCTACCTTATGAAAGTTTTGTGTTTTATAGCTTTTAATGCACTAACTATATAAAAATCCTTCTTCACAATCCACCCTAGAAGTGAAACTAGTAGTTTGAAATCAAAAATCTAAGTCTGATTTAAATGCCAATTCTAGTTATAACATAAAATAAACGTCGAGAATGTAAACATTTTAACATTAATAAGCATAATATATGAGATTAGACTTTAAACATCTTAATGATTATTTAGACAGAATTAAACAAGCTTAAAATCTAACTTTTACTAAGAGATACATATTAATTTTCTCTCTCAAACACAGACTAATCTGTATATCAAGCACGTAAGTCCACATAGAGACATTCAAAGTAATTTTCATAACTGCACTCATTATTATTTTATACCTATATTTAATATAATAAAATATCTGCAACATAAGAAATTGTCACCCCAATGTTTCAAACTAAAATATCTCATAAAAATTAATAGCCAGTGTTTCAGAACTTAGGACAGGTTTATAGTGGTGCTAAAACTATGTAACAAGTTATCTAACAGAAGCCTGAAATAAGAGGTCTTCGATGAATTGGCAATGATAACTATTCTATTTAAAGTATCTTTGAGGTTTAACAACCAGACAATGCACATTAGAACTTATTCTTGTAATTTTACCAAGTGTGAGCAAACATGAAAAAAATGACTAAAAAATTGTAAAAAAAATTCTTTGCAGATAAGCTCCCCATTTCAGAGAACATTACAAAACTGCATATGTGTGCTTTCTCTAATGTTTGCATTATATTTAGAAGGTGTTAATGAACCATTCAGAAATTCTCATATTTATAACAGATGAGAGTAATGCTACCCAGGTAGAATCCCTGGCGAGAGTCAGGCAATCCACCACCTTTTCCTTTGTTTTGAATGGTGAACTAGGGAGTTCTGACTCTTCCTATTCGGCCTAACCTAGAATGTCGCTGAGGTTTCATTGCCATCATACCTACACGCCTGTGCACCTACACACGCACACGCAGAGGAGGCGAGCACATTCACTTTTCTTCCTCACTCTCTGTGTACGTTGTAAAATGAATTCACCAACTTCAAGTCATTATATGGAAGGAATAGATTACTCCCCTAAATAACACTTTAACATCTGTAGAGATGGAATCACTTTAATATTACTTATCAAAAGAGGGAAAAAGGTGATAATCAGATCACAGAGCCAAAAACATCATGGAAACAAGTATCAGAAAATACTACAGTACATCTCTGCCAAGAACTACCATGATGCAATGATTGCAACTACTACTGGCAATGATTTCTGCTGCTGTCTTTTCAGGTCCCTATACACACAAACTCTTTCCTGGATATATAAATGACAGCGGTGGTATCCTTCAAGTTAGGAATCAACTAATACAAGATCTTTCAGCTTTATGGAGAAAGAGCTTGTTTTTTAAGAGTAAACTAGGTTTGGTGTTTTGAAGTATGAGATGTTTATTTTACTTACCTGCTACCTCCACTTTAGTGGACTGTCCTAGACAAGAACAAATAATTCTAAAAACTGATTTAGGATGTGTAATTATATAATTATTTTTTTAAATCAGATGGAACTAAGAGTATTTAAAAGAATACAGTGGTGATTATGACACCATCATGATATTAACAGGAGAAATTTTCGGCAAATGAAATAAGGTAAAGTAAATCTTAGGCAAATTATCTAGTGCTTTTACATTAAAATTCAATCATTACTTAGGACCTGCTTCCTGACTTCTTTCCAGTTCAAGTTTTAATTAGCTGCTGATTATTTATAAGTTAGAGATTAAAGACTTGCAAGGAAAAGGCAAAAAAACAAACACAAAAACAAAAATCCCCAAATTGCTCAATCTGTATGAGTAGACTCGTTAGTTATGCTCTGTGTATTTCTTACCTTAGCTCCTTCTAGAGGCAAATCATGGCATCTGTGTTTCCGTAGAAGCACCGGGTCAGAGCCCATTCTACTGTGCCTTCCATTTACGTTTGAACTTGCTGTAATTCCAGGCTTTGGAGAGCCGTCCCCTAGGAGTCGACATGCTACTAACTGGTTAGTCCCAAACACATCCCGAGGGCACCAGGCTTCAAGAGGCATTGGCTGGTCTCTGGAAGGCACACTCTCCATAGGATGGAAGTGTCGACTCAGTCTATTGTCAGGTGGGATTGGGGGTGGTCTTTCAGGTGGAGGGGGAGGAGGATCTCTTAAAGGAGGAGGTGGTGCTGGAAGTGGTTTATCTTGTTTTCTTACCATGCAAGGAGAAGACTAAAGAAACACAAGAGAAAACAAAAAAAAAAAAAACCCTGAAAATTGTACCAAACTCTGAAATAACTTCCAGACTAGTATATTATTGCTTTTGTTTTCTAAGCCAGAATGAGGCTCTATTAGATTCCTATGCTATCTTTTCATAAGTTTCTTTCATTACTAATGAAATTTTTAAAAAATTAATGAAAACCTCAATAAATGTTTCATTAAGATTTTTTGTACAAATATGTAAATGCCAATGTTACATTATAGAAACTACATAGGAAAAAAGTACAAGTTGATAATTATATGACTTATCAACATTAAAATAATATGTCAATAATTAACTTATTTGCACATTTCTATAACTTAGGAGACATAGGAAAAATCCATCAAAGTTGTTGTAATTGTTTTAGTTTTTATAAGGAGCAATTTGACTTGTAGTATTTTTATAAGATTAAAAGCTTTTAAAAATTACTTTTATGTTACTGCAATATAGAGCAATTGACTTGGGATAAATTTGCTCTGATTTTTTTGTCATATTAGTTATTATCAGAATAGTCAAAAATCACAAGTATCCTAAATAGGATTATTTTACAGAATTACTTAATTTTATGAATCTTACAATGAAAAAAGATCAGCCTAATTCTTACAAGGAAAAAAAGGCTTTTACAGACTACTGAATTGAATGTGTACCTGTCACAGCTTTTGATTTTTTCAGTTTGCCTGAAAAATGATTTACGATTTTACTATTAATGAATATCAAACAAAAAAGTAATCGGTTATTTTTACATAATTGTAATTAACATTCTAATGAGTCTTCATACGATTTTAAACTAAGCTAACTATATTGCAGGCAAATGAAATGCTATTAAAATACTGTGCTTCCAGTAAATTTTCAACTATAAAGCATATTACTGAATAAAATTTAATTTTTAAATATTACATTTAATACAGAAAAATATGTCCTAATTATTAAATTTGGAAAAGAATTCACACAGACTAAAATAAAGTCTAGGCTTAAATTTAAAGAGTTAGAATTATGTCTTTAATATCAAATAGTAATATAATTACATTGTAAATATTGTAATCCATTATAATTAATTCCTTAGGGTATAAAAAGTAGACGTAATTCCCTTTGCTGAATCACCTTGAAGTATGGGTGATAATTTATCACACCTTAAGTCCTTATGCAAATATACTCCCATCACATTATTCTTGCCATGGAGCTATAAAAATGAGTACAAAATATAATTTACTAACAGCATGCCAATAAGTGTAATGCATGTAATGATATTTTAAATCTATTTTACAGGATAACTATTCTTACTCTATTTATTTTAGCAAACCAGGGAGCTACAGACCTATGTTCTCTCTCTGCAATAATTATATAACTTTTGGAAGGAATATGATTGTCAGCTCACCATAAACAAGATAGGAAACCATCAAAATTGTTCATGAACAATTAAGAGCACAAAAAAACATGGTAATGGAATTTCAAGGACCTAAGCAATCAATACTTGTTACATAAAATTATGGTCTAATAAAACTGACTTACCTTTGGTGACCCAGTTGGACTACCACAGGGAGATCGGACTATGCCTTTCTGAATCAGGTCCAGGCGAGGAGGCACTGGTGGCAAGCTTAGATGTGGGATCTGGAGAGCGTCAGGCTGTGGCTTTCTTCTCTGGGCAAGGGGAGAGGATCCTGGTGATGTGACTGGTGAGTTCTGCCTCTCAGTACACTAGATCAATAAAAAAGCAAGATCGTATTGTTCATTCGATAGAGAGTGCATGCCATTCAGGTCTTAAAGAAGATACCGGGTTTCAAGAAGGTGCCTATCATTATATATTTGTTAAAATAAGTTCCCTTAGTTTACTCTGATTAATAGACGCAAAGAGTTCATATTGTCCCTCAAGAGTAGTTATTATGAAAAGAATAGATGGATGGGTCTTTCTTACATATTACTAAAAGGGCCAGGAAAACCAGAACAGTAAAAGTGTAAAGAAAATCAAATGCAGAGATTCTTCAAGAAACTCATCCATATTTTGTAAGGAAATCAGAAACACAGAATGAAGTAATGTGCATCATTCTTGACTATATGATAAAACTGGCTTAGAACTTTTTATATTCAAATTGTTTTGTTACAAACAAAACATGCATCCAGTGTATAGCTGATTTTCCTGCAAATCAACTGAGTCAGGCAGGGTTTTAAAAAATATTTATACACATAAAATAAAACAGGTTTAAGCCGGCATAGTTTTTTCTTAAGCTTTCACATGGAAAAAAAATCCTCCCGTTTAACATTTTTCTTTTAGAACAATTAACTAAATCTTGGAAAGTCTATACTTCTGCTAAAAATAGTAAATTGCTATTCTATTACAAATTGGGAGATAAAATAGCATCAAAAAATCACTAAAAATACTTAAATTTGTACCTACGTTACACGTTTGCTAAGAAGAATTTGTTCTCTGTGTATATTGTTTTAATATAGAATAATCTGATTGCTATTTCTTATTAAAAGTCACTGTTAATCAAACAGCCTTACTAAAATAAGCAATATTCTGATCTGACATACTAGGCAGTTTCCTTTATAAGTCTAAGTTACTAGCTCTTAGAAGACTGAGGATTAATTTTTAGAATCTACTATATTAATTTTTTATGCTTTGATATTTATCTGTTTCAGAACTAGTATTTTTTATAAACAAGCTAGTTTAAGCTTGTTCTTAAAAGGCATTAAGATGACACCCTTAACATTACACCCCTTAACACCCCTTAACATTATACCCCTTTATAAAAACAGCTGATGTTGTCATCACCTGACAATTTAATTTGAACTCCAGCAACACTGACAAAGATTTAGCCAGTCCGCCTTTGTCTGAGACAGGATAACAGATTTGTGTTCACATTCATACCTATTTTGTGGAAGCCTTTTTCTTAATTATCAAAAATTCATACTTTATTCAGGATTTTCTTAGTTTTTACCTAATGTCCTTCTTGTGCTCCAAGATCTCAGGCAGACCATTCTGTCAGCTTCAGCCAACATGTCTCCTTAGTTTTTTCTTGGTTGGCTCTGAGAGTTTCTCAGTTACCCACTGTTTTTGATGACCTTGACAGTTTGCCAGAGTACTGGTCAGATACTTTATAGAATTTGCCTTTATTGGAATTTGTCTGATAATTTTTCAATGATTAGCCTGGGCTTAAAGTTTCTGGGAGGAGGATCATGAAAACGAAATGTCATTCTAACCATATCCTATCAAGAATTTATATTATCAACATGACTCATGGCCGATGCTGACATGAATCACCTGGCCGATGTATTTTTTATCAAGTATTTCCAACACAGTTTCTTTCTTTTCTCTCCTTTCCTGTAGCATATTCTTTGCAAGAAAGTCACGTCCTAGCCCACACTTAAGGAGTGGATAGTTGTGGTCTCCTTTGTAAAGACTTTTTAAAAATAAATTTGAGTGGCTGAACAGAAGCCTCTAGACCACCAGCGGTTCTCAACTTGTGGGTCATGACCCCTTTGGGGCTCGAATGACCCTTTCACAGGGGTCACCTAAATACATCCTGCATATCAGATATTTACATTACATGAATTTATATTTATATGAATTTGCTGCTTCATAAAAGTAGCAAAATTACAGTTATGAAGTAGCAACGAAAAATAATTTATGGTTGGGGGTCACCACAACATGAGGAAGTGTATTACAGGGTTGTGTCATTAGGAAGGTTGAGAACCACTGATCTAGACCACACCTGAGACTCGCCTTATATTGTCACGATGTCGCTAAACTACAAAGTCTTTGAGTCTCTCAGTTGATGCCAAATAAAAGAGTTCAACAAATTTAAACACAAATTCAAAGGAACTTTGTATTTTTAGTAATTTCATGTTTCTTCATATCTCTTAGCTTGTTATAATTTGAAAATTTAATTATTACTAATTGAAGGAGAAACAGCAGGATCTGTATAGTCATAACTGATTTTAGTGCCGCTGGTGATTCTTAACAAAATAATTTTTTTAACCCCAAATTTGTGGGGCCTTATGAACTGTGAATTTCTAAAGCCAGAGAGATCCAAGAGTCATCACAGGCAAATCACAAAGAATCCGTATTGTAAAATGAATCTGCTGTGAAGAGCAGCACTATAGATCCGGAGATGGATGTCACAGCACACGTAGTTTTCCAACACTCCCATAAACTGCCTTCTCTGAGAACTAGCAAAATTGTTATCTGCCAAGGATTCTTTGACTTTTTTGTAAAAGGCAAAATCAAGGAGCAAAGCTATTTGCAGTTTTTAGACCAAATGATATTTTTACATCTCTGTACAAAAAACGTGTATCACTTCATTTGTGTAGCTACCTGCAGACACATGTTTCAACAGGAGCCACACACATTACAAACACCGCTAACAAGACCTACGGTCCTCCCTGCTTTTCTTCTGAAAATATTTTCCTGTTTCCCTCATTACCTGCAACAAGACACAAAATTCCGACAGAGCCAAAAAAGCCCATTGTTATCATTTAAACTTAACTTTCCCCCTAGAGTGCATTAATTACTAACTAAAATTTGAGCAGTTCCTAAATTCCTAGCATGTTTAAATAAGGGGGTGGATTTTATTTAAAAAGGATGAAGGGCTTGTTAGATACTGAAAGGGTACAGTGAAAATCCTGAGAATAGACATTTGAAACAATGTGTGTTGTGAAGTAAAAATAACCTTGAACTTTTACAGACTTCCAGACAGGCAGAGTCTCTGTAATCCCGTGAATGTAACTGGAAGCAGACCTTGCTTAGCACAATTCATATTGTGTTCTGAAGGTGATTATGTGCTATCCTCTTGCAGAGTTAATACATTATTCAATGTAATAAGCATTACACTATCACTAAGTGGTTTAGTTAGAAGGTTTTGTGTAGGGTATGTGAAAAAACAAAACACATTTCATCGTAATTGATTGTACGGACTAACTTCCTCATGACTCACTTATTTACCTCACTTCTAAAGCACTGTAAAATTCCATGCACTATTCTCTGCTGAACCTTTTGCTATTTATATGACGAATTCTGCAATCAGGGTACTGAACCTTACATTAACTTCCATTGCTGGTAAAATTCAAACATTAACTATGAAAAATTTTAGTCGACAGGCCAAGAGTAGTGGCTCACGCGTATAATTCTAACTCTCTGGAAGGCCAAAGTGAATAGATTGCTAGAGTTCAAGACCAGCCTGAGCAAGAGCAAGACTCCCTCTCTACTAACAATAGCAAAGCTGCGGTAAGAGGATTGTTTGAGCCTAAGAGCTTGAGGTTGCTGTGAACTATGAAGCCATAGCACTCAGAGTGACAAGAGTGAGGAGCTGTCTCAAAAAATAATTAATTAACTAATTAAATCGGCTCGGCACCTATAGCTCAACCGGCTAAGGCGCCAGCCACGTACACCTAAGGTGGCGGGTTCGAATCCCCAGCCCGGACCCGCCAAACAACAATGACGGCTGCAACCAAAAAATAGCCGGGCGTTGTGGTGGGCGCCTGTGGTCCCAGCTACTTGGGAGGCAGAGGCAGGAGACTCGCTTGAGCCCAGGAGTTGGAGGTTGCTGTGAGCTGTAATGCCACGGCACTCTACCCAGGGGGACAGCTTGAGGCTCTGTCTCAAAAAAAAAAATAATACATAATAATAATAATTAAATCAAAATTGTAGTAGGTAATTTCCGCATAAAAAGGTCAATTTCTTTGAGTAATCACAAATTATATTTTTCATCCTTTCCTATTTGAAAGTCTAAAAAGGAAGAAAATCTAGCACAATACTGTACATTCCAGTCCATAATTTTTTGAATGAGATAATAAAAATTAATGGTGTCAAAATTTATCAGTTCACCCTAAAGAATTAAGTTTGCCCTTTTTATTCCTCTGAAAAAACAAACAGACTGATTGAATGTAGACTGAAATTATTTTTCCTTAACCTACAATATTGTATCTCTATGGTATTTGCATTTTTATTGGCAATTTAAAGGACTTTGAATTTGAGAGTAACATATTTCCCCCAGTAAGTTAAGTCTTCAGGTGAAATAAATGCCTCTAATGTTGGGACCTGACGGAGGGATGGAGCAACTCATCTTTAGTTCATTCATTTATACTAACCCCGAAATTGACTCCATAATCACATATTTCCTTCCAAACTTCCCCTGGCCTTCTTTCTCCATGGTTCTAATCCCCATCCTGAAATCGCTTAGGCCAAATCTGTTTGTCTACTTGTGTCAGGTGATACAGAAGTTGCTGGTGATAAACAATAACAATACACAAAACATGAGCCAATCAGCTGGCTCAGGTTTCAAATCCCAGAGTGTAGACTGTGGTAACTCAATCATCTCCAACTGATTCCTCAGGGATATCTCTTGATCGTTATCATCTTCACTGAACAAAAACACCAACTGAATGCCTAAGTATAAAACATCTGGGTTAGATGAGAAAGCAAGCATTATTTAAGTTTCTAATAGCAACAGGCATGTATTTTGTTGCTAGAGATACTCTTGATTAGAAAATGTGAATTTCAGGTGTGGTGAACTACCCACCTAAGCTCTAATGTAGTGACCTTGGACTGGCGCACTCCAGCACACCAGTGCACCATTAGAGGATCTCAGGTTGCCATGAAAATTTTTAAAGGTCATCAAATGATTTTCAAAATAAGTTCAAAGTACAGTTTACGTATGTTCTTTTTTTTTTTTTACCTTTTTTTTTTTTTCCTGATCAAT